AGCTGGCTCAGATGTGAAGATCCCACTGCTGTGCCCATGCAGTCCCCATCTAGGTCTGGCAGGCACACAGCCTTGGGGCCATATGTTGTTGCAGGTAGCAGCAGGTCATATCCAGGCAGCGGCCCCCACTGCCAGACTGCTGCAGTGGGTAGAGGGTGCAGGGAATTCTCAGTTAAGGCTGCTTCAGCAGTCCAGCTGGCACAAGGGGTAGTGTACCTTTGTCACGGCAGCTTTTCATATTGCTGGGGCTAGCACAGATGCTGGCTTCAGGCTCTAGCTGCTCCTGGCTGCAGATTCGGGAGGAGCTGGACAGAGTTATTTTGCCCCGAGTGGCACAACTTGCCCCACACCAAAGTGCATGTCCGGGCATGTGCACTGAGGCAAAAATCCGTGGCTCTAATTTGTGCTGCTCCTATTTGAGCTTCTGCAAGCACAGGTGCCTGCATGTGTGGACATGTCTAGTGTATTCAGAAAACTTTTCTTTTACTTTCATCTTTTTTATTTTTTTTGAATGGTGACATAGGATCATAGGAAAATAGGGCAGGAAGGAACTTCACATGGTCATTTAAGTCCATCCCAGTGGTGAAGACAGGATCATCCCTGACTAAACACTTGGCTGGGATGGTTTATCGGATCTGCTTTTTAATTCCCAAGGACAGGGAATCTAGAGTTTCTGTAGTTAGCCTGTACCAGTGCTTGACCACCCTCATAGTCAGGAAGTTCTTCCTAATCTCCAACCTAAATTTCCTCTGCTGCAGTTTGAGGCCATTACTCATATCCTTTCTCTGTGGCTGTAGGATACAGGACTATCTCCATCCTCTCTCTAATTTCCCTTCTAGTATTTGAAGATTGGTATCAAATCCTCCTTGGTCTTCTCTTTTCCAAACTAAATAACCCTAGTTCTTTTGGCCTTTCCTCATAAGTCTTGACTCCCAGTCCCTTAATTCTTGTTGCTTTGTGCTGGATTCTTTCCAAGCTGTCTACGCCCTTCTTGAAGTGTTGGACCCAAAACTGGTCACAGTACTCTAGGTGAGGTCTCACCAGTGCTGAATAGAGTAGAAAAACTGCTTCCCGTGATTTGCAAGTGACATTCCTGTTAATACAACTCAGCATGCAGTTGCCTTCTCTCTCTCATTTTCTTTTCTTGCACAAAAAAGATACACTACACCGTTAGCTTATATTCACGTTATGGCACCCAGAGGTCTTTCTCTGCAGTACTGCCCAGCCAGTCATTCATCCAGCCTGTTTTTGTCCAGGCAATTATTCTGTCCCAAGTGCAGGACTTTTCCTGTTGAGTCTTCAGTGAACCATTTCTCCATCCTGTTCAGGTCATTCGGTATCTCAGCTCTACTCTCCAAAATATCTACAACTCCCCCCAACATGGTGTTATCTACAAATTGCAATGTGTGCACTCAATATCATCATCTAGATTATTAAATTAAATATTAAACAATACTGGACCCAGAACAAACCCCTGGGAAATCACTTGATACTTCCTCCCAACTAGACATTGAGCTGTTGATGACTGCTCACTGAACACAATGATCCAATCAGTTTTTTTATCCACCAGTAAATGTGTATTTGTCATGGGTAAATGAGAGGTTTTTTTTCCCCTTAGAAAAACTGTGTTAAAGGAATTATGTTAATTTCTGCCTCATACTTCTCTGTGTAGACTAATAAGAATGCAAGGCTGCATTAAAAGTATCTTTGGAACTTTTTTTGAGAAGCTGCATCTTACTGAGATATGAGTCAAGAAGAGTGTTGGGATATGGATTAAATAAATTAGGTCTACACTCATAAATGCCAGAAACTCATTATCTTCTCTTGGGAGGTTTTAACGTAGAATGGCATAGTTTCTACCAGGCTATTCTTTTGAGATTCTTCCCTCTTAGATACTTTGCAAGAATATCTATTCTTATTAGATGTCTGCTGACTCCAAATTACAACTACAAAATGTTTTAATTAAAGTACTCATTGACGATGACTTAAAGAATTTAGAAATGTGAATACACCCCCCTCCCCCCCACTACCCATTTTCCACTAGAAATGTTATAATTCTAAAAAGAATGCTTTGGTTCAGGTGTGTTTAAACTCCCTTGGGCCCTCAGCTGGATCTGGGTCCATCTGTGGAAGCATGGCACTGAGCTGCAGAGGTCAATGAGCTGAAATTCAGCAGGGGATCGTGACCCCACTTTCTCTTCTTGCATTTGTTCCTCCCTGAACTCCCAGTCCTTCTACTAGCAGGTCAGGTACCTGTGCTCTAGCTGAACTACAACATTGGGCTAGATTGAGCTTGAATTAGAAATTCTTGTGTGAAATTCTGTGGTCTGTATTAGACAGGAGGTTGGATTCAGATCATAAGAGTCTTTTGACCTTAGTCTGTGAATGTTTACAGTAATTTCCCTTTGTGAGAGGCCTCCCATTGGGTGCTTATACACATGTTGTGGGGTTTAGTCCTTAGGGTTGCATTTTGTGTCCCCTAAATTGGAACTGTGGGTTTTTAATGGAAACCCACGGTTTCAATTAAGGGGTTTCTGTCACTGTTATGGCAAGGTGCCTGCCCAGAGCCAAGGGGGCAAGCTGGCAGTGGGCTGAGCAGCCCCTGAGCTGTGGGGGGCCTTGGTCCTTCCCTCTGCAGCAGCAGTGCCCTCCAGGGTCACCCAGGCAGGCTGCTAACAGGCTGGGTGCTTCCCCAACTTAGAAGTAGCACCTGACCCTATCCAACTCTTCCCTGAGCTGGGGCAGCGCCTTGCCCACTAGCAGCCCTTCCAGGTGGCCCCGGGGGGTGCTGCCACCATAGAGTGAAGGAGCGGGACCCCTCACAGCTCAGGGGCTGCTTGGCCCACCAGCAGCTCATCCCAGCCATGGGAGAGGCAGCAGGCTTCTCTGGGAAAAAGAGGGGAAAAAAAGATTGCCTCCCTCACTGTTTCTTCCTTCAGCAGCCACCTGCTGAAGGCAGAAGTGGTAAGGGGCCTGATCCTTTTTTGGTGCAGAGCCTGCCCACCTGTTCTGTGACTGGGGGTGCAAACTGATGAATAGCTGCAACGCATCATTGCAAACTCATTTGAAACCCCCAGAATTCCTGCACGTGTATAGTGTGATGCCATTAAGCCACACAAAGTGACATTTTCATCATGTGTACATGGTAATGGTGTTGTGTACAAGTGCCCATTATGTCAGGTGCTTTTTAAACCAAAACAGAGTATGCTTTTCCTGAAGAGGTATGACTTATGTGATACGAAAACCTTTCAGTGAAGTGGCATATGTATTAGATAGTTTGCAGAATGGCTTATTTCCTGATTTGAAATATTCCATTTTGGACTGTTTTAACCTGTTTAAAAAAATCAGATTTGTAAAACAAGAAATAACTGGTCACAGAAGGAAAAGGATTGTGACAAGAGCCTCATCTGGTATAAATTGCCTTAGGTCCAAGTCCTACAATACTGGTGTCAAGTGGAAAGGAGCACTGGGAGAAAAGGACTTTGAAGAAATACTTGGATAGGTGTAAGCCGTTTCAGGCATAACCCATTCTTGATAGTTTGTGTATCACTTCCTTGGTAGGACTTCTGAGTGCTACTGTAGTATTTGACAATGGAAGAAACATGCATCTTGTACCTAATGATTGAGAACCTGCTGACAAAATAAAATGAAGTCTTTAGCAGAGGTGTAATTGCTAAGGTTTGCACCCTAGGCCAGCATTCCCCTTCTGCACACTGCTCCTCTGCCCTAGAACTGCATCTCTGCTGTGTCCAAGCTGCCTGCTGCTGTTCCCAGCCCTTCTTGCTCTGTGCCAAGGGATGCTCTATCATTCTTGCAACCCCTTCACTGCAGTTGTTGCAGCTGATTCATGTTGCCTCCAACTGCCACCAAAGTTGGCAGTGTGAGAAGTGGCAACTATAGTAAGGGGTCATGATATAGCAGGAAGAGCTAAGGGGCAGCAGGTGACAGCAGAGATGCAGTCCAGGGATAGTGGAATGCCCAAGGCAAGTTGTGCCTCTGCAAGCAGAAGGGACCTGGGGAACTTTTTCTGGGTTAGTGTTGGGGATAGCGCTACTGGTCTTTAGTATCATGGATGAATTCTCACTAGTAACGTGATATACACTTTGATTTGAGAGCTTAGGTTCCATTTTTCAAAACTGATTTAGGGTCACATTAAAGTTACTTACACACATGCATGCCCTGTGTGCGCTTTTCAGAAGTGGTAAAATAAGTTAGGCACCTAACTCCCATTGATAACATAAGGGAAGGAGATACCTACTGCAGATTTTAAATGCCAGTGGGAATACTATTTTCAAAAGCAGCTAAGTACCTTTCAAAAAAGTCTTAAGAGCTTAGGTTTCTAAAACCTTTTTGAAAAAGGGACATAAATTGCTAGGTTACTTAGTTCACAATTTTGAAGATTTTGATGATATTTAACAATTTTCCACTCTGTGTGTTGCATAGTGACTCCAAAAGTGATTTGAGATGAAGGCTTTTAAATGCCTGAAGTCACCTTTTGAAGATGGTGACTTCACCTTTAAGCTCCTGATTTGGGGTTTTTTTTAAACTTTATAGTAGGAATTTGTCATAGACGTAGTATTATTTGGATTGCAGGAATGCTCCAAATACTTCATTTTTTCGAACACAGAAACCTAAATCCCTGCTCCAATAACATACAAGCCAGTGCTTCTATATTGGCAAATAAATGCTAAAATGTATTTGTGTGAAAATGAGATGAACTCTTTTGGTGTGCTGCTTCACACTTTACTTGCAGGTGCTTGCAAATTTATTAACAAGGACTCATCCTATAGTAAAAATTCATGCTAAAATATACAATTATTACTAGTGCACCTTGTTGTGTTTCTTGACATGATGGTTGCCTGAGACTATGCCTGTAATAATTGTACTTCAATAAAATATTTCATTTTGTTATTCCACACAAAACTTTGTAATGTTTTTTTCATTGTTTTGACTCCATTCTAAAGGGTTTTTTGTAATGGACCTTTCTTACTTTTTTCTAGAATGTTTGATCTCACTTATGATGATTTGACATTATAATCCCTACATTAACCATGATGGCAACACAGACATTAAGTATAGACAACTATCAAGATGGACAACAAGTGAGCACATTTTTCCTCCTCTACGTTCTGAATGCTATTAGCAAGTGAAAAATTATCTTTTTTTTCCTTTTTTAAATCTGCATCTGATGAAATGCGTGGCTTCTAGTCTGTCAGATGTGATGGTGCATCTTTGAAGAGTGATGCATCTAACAATTTTAATGCGATTTTAGGAATTCATTGCAATTTAGTGTTAATTTGGGGCAAGCCATGTCATAGATCTGCAGTTTGAAGATCCATTTTCCACTCTGCTTGCCAGCCTATATAGTAGGTAGAATGGCCACTAACCCATCCCTAAAATATCGGCTATCCCCTTGGTGAGAGGTGGGCGCCATCAGCCAATCAGTGGTGGGGGTGGAGCTGTCACCTCCTTGGCCAATCAGCAGCAAGGAACAGGGCCACCACCTCCCTCCTTCCTTTCCTTCCTCCTTTGCTGGCTTGGAACTCCTCTCCTGGCTGTGCAACGCCCTACCTCTAGGCCCAGCCAATGGAATCATGAGGACAAATGATTGACATTTATTTCCACCAATGAGCTGAAAAACAGGACTTTGCTGTCTGCTCCTCATTCAGAAATAGGCAGTGAATCATTTCTCCATCCTGTTCAGGTCATTTGGTATCTCAGCTCTACTCTCCAAAATAACTGATTGTGTGGATCATGTATTAGATCCCACTGCGCTTTTATCTGTGTGTGTAGAGTTATGGAGCGGTGCCTTGAGTACAGAAAGATTGAGAATCACTGATTTGTACACTATGAATGTGTGTTGTGGATAATAAAAAGGAACATCTTGTGTCACTACAACTCACTGTGACCCACACACCAACCTGCAAGAGATTTTAGAATTCTTTTTTTTCCTTTGTTTCCTTTTTCTCCATTTATATTTTCTCTTTCCCTTTTTCTGATTCCTTGTTTCTTCCTCTTGTATGCCCTCTGGAAGCTTACTATACACTAGTAGGAGTATGTGATACCCTAGCTTGAGAAATGCTGGTTTAGAATAACATATGCCGTGGAGGTGGGGTGTGCAGGAACTAGTGAGGAGAGAGTAGTTCTTTTTTGCTCTACTCAGCAGGAGTATTCTGAGAGATGGTAATCAGCTGGGTTTGATGCATCTCCTTCCTCTAGTCAGTAA